CTGACAGGCTGTCTCTAAGAGCCCTTGCTCTTTCTGAATTGTCCACAAGGGGTCCCCAATACCAAAGCGTGGATGGCACTTACCCTGGACTTTCTTTGTGCTGTAGCTAGGAACTTTCAAGAGGCAAGCAGGCTTAGATTCAGAACTTTTATTTAACTTGCATTATTATTATAAAATGTGTTTCTATTTCTGTGTATGTGCATTTGTGTGAGCATGTGCAGGCGTCCACAGAGGCCAGAAGAGGGCGCTGGATCCCACTGGTGCTGGAGTTAAGAGTGGTGTTGTGAGCGAGCGGCTACTGAGCACAGGCCCTCTGAAGGAGAAGCCAGCATACTTGTCCAGGGGCTCCGCACTTTCCCACTTTTCTACAACTGCTCCCTGACCACCATCGCTGATCCTAACTCCACAGGCCTGGCTTTCCCTTCCTCTTCTCACTCCTTCCAGCAGCTGTGAACCTCTAGATTGGGTGCCGGGCACGGGTTCACAGCCTCTGAGCTTTCTCTCCAGGCCCAGTGTCCTAGCATTTTATGACACTCTACCAACTGAGCCTATCCTGGCCCTTGACTGCAACTCTTTTTTTCTCTTTATTTATTTTTACTTTATGTGCATTAGTGTTTTGCCTGCATGTGTGTCTGTGTGAAGGTGTCAGGTCCCCTGAAGCTGGAGTCACAGACAGTTGTGAGCTGTCATGCAGATGCCGGAAATTGAGCAGCTAGCTCCTAACCGCTGAGCCATCTCTCCAGCCCTCCGCTGCAACACTTATTGGTGCCAGTCCCAGTGATATCTCTTGTGTAGGAACAACTCACTGTAGTCCCTGCTCCTCCAAAACCACAGGGACTGTAGCACCTTTGCCAGCAAAGTGGGGATGTGGGATGTCCTTCTGTATATGTGTTGCTTTTATTGGTTGATGAATAAAACTATTTTGGCTAATGGCTTAGCAGAGTAAAGCCAGGTGGGAAATCCAGAGAGAGAGAGAGAGAGAGAGAGAGAGAGAGAGAGAGAGAGAGAGAGAGAAGGTGGAATCAAGAAGACACCATGTAACTGCTGAAGGAGAAAGATACCAGAATATTACCTTGTGGTGATACATAGATTAATACAAATGGGTTAATTTAAGATGTAAGAGCGGCCGGGCGGTGGTGGCGCACGCCTTTAATCCCAGCACTTGGGAGGCAGAGGCAGGCGGATCTCTGTGAGTTCGAGACCAACCTGGTCTACAAGAGCTAGTTCCAGGACAGGCTCCAAAACCACAGAGAAACCCTGTCTCGAAAAACAAAACAAAACAAAACAAAAAAACAAAACAAAAAAAAAAGATGTAAGAGCTAGCTAGGAATATGTCTGAGTCATTGGTCATTGTGATTAGTATAGTTTCTGTGTGATTATTCATGTCTGGGCAGCCAGGAAATGAAAGTGCAGTGTCTGTTTACAAAGCGGAAACCCTGCCTGGGTTCTTTCTTTCCCTGGGTTCTACTGCTGATTCCAAGAATGACACTGGGTGGAGCCTCAATGGGAGTGAGCATTATTTGTTCCACCAACATCTGAAGTGTTCATAGCTAGGTGTGATGGTGCTCACCTTTAATCTGAGCACTCAGGAGGCAGAAGCAGACAGATCTCTGTGAGTTTAAGGTCAGCCTGGTCTACATAGTGAGTACCAGGAGAGCAAGGACTATGTAGAGAAACCCTGTCTCAACTCCGCCCCCCCCCAAACAAAACAAAACAAAATACAACAAAAACATTTGAAGTGTTCAAAACAAGCTGGCCAGTCTGAAAGCATGGCTTATACCCTCTACATTGTCAATAGGAGTTGGTTAATAGGCTTTTTAAAAAAGATTTGTTTGTATTTATTTGTATGTGTGTTTATATGCACTACATGTATGCAGGAGCCCATGGAGGCCAGAAGAGAGCTCCAGTTCTCCTGGGACTGGAGTTCCAAGTGGCTGTGAGGTAACATGGGAACCAAACCCAGGTCCTTTAGAAGAACAACAGAATCTTAATCACTGAGCTGTCTCTCCAGCCCTGGCTTATAGACTATGATGGATCCATTCCATGATATGCTATATATCTTGGGCTGTGGAAACAGGAGGCCTTTCAGCAGGAAAGGGAGCCTGCCAGGAAGCTGGAAAAATCTGAGTTCAGTTCCTGGAACCTACTTGATGGAAGGAGAGGACCAACTTCCGCAGGTTGTCCTCCACACATGCTCCGTGGCCTCTGTACCCACTGCACACACACACACACACACACACACACACACACACACTAAATAAATAAATAAGTAAGCAAATAAATAAATAATAAATAAATGTTTTGCTTTGTTTTTAAAGGGTACTATGCATCCATTTCTCCTCACTCAGCCCAGAAAAAAAAAAAAAGGAATTATAGATGTAGAAATATAATTCACTTGCCTAGTATGTACCAGGTCCTGGGTTTCATCTTCAGCACTTAAGACACAACAAACAACAACATTTCAAAAGAGCCATGTATATGAGCATGTTTTTCCAAGCCTACAAAACTCCAGAGCCACACACAAGAAACTGATAACTTCTTGATGCTTCAGAGAAAGGAGACAAAGATGAAGTTACCGGTATGGATTCTGCAAATGTGCGTGTAACCATGACAAACACGTTAAAGTAAAATCACCAGACACATGTCAAAACTGTCTCATTGAACACCTGATCACACCTATCTATGTTTCGAATGTTTAGGAGAAAACTCATCGAGCAGTGGGTGTTGTCCCCACTGTGATCAAAGGCACAGATGCCGTAGATGCTGATGCTATCTCGGGGCCACTGTCCCCAACACCTGGCTAAAGGCCCTTCCTCGTGCACCCACAATTGTTAAATAGCATCCATTTGTCCCATAACATCGGCTGCCTCACTAACACTTCCTGGCACAGCCAGTTCTGTGCTCTAAAGCTGTCAGCGACCTTGAAGACTCAAAACTGTTAACAAAAATAGCTAATCCCTCTGAGGAAGCCTCTCTCTCTCTTCCTCTCTCCTCTATCGCTGTCCCTCACAGTCTGTGGAGAGTTTCTGTCATTCCTAAAGTGTGAGGAGTTGAGAAAGACCCATCGGGCAGCCGTGGGCCCAGTGGCTCTCACCACGGAACAGTGCTGTGCCTGTGACCAGGGGGCGGTCCTTCGGCAGGGTCGGAGCCCCACCACAGCCATTAGCACCTGCTGCCGGAGCTCCCACTTCCTGTCAGCTGAATCACTCAGGATGCTGCCAGCCCAGCAGAAAGTGATTCCCACAGTGAGGATGTTCATTACGTCACAGAACAAAGTGTCTGGGGAAGGGAACTTCTGAACTGCTGAGTCCAGTTCTGACAGACAGACACCTGGCTTGCTCTGGCTGACTTCATCAGGATTTTCTCTTCCTCGGGACAGATGACCTCTGTTGTTCCGAAGAACACATCTTCACATGAGGTTACCGAAGGCAGGAAGACTCAGTGCTTCCCACAATGTACTTGGCCTCTTCCAGTCTGACTTTCAACAGGAGAAAAATCTTTCTCATTGGGGCTGGAGAGATGGCTCAGCGGTTAAGAGCATTGCCTGCTCTTCCAAAGGTCCTGAGTTTAATTCCAGCAACCACATGGTGACTCACAACCATCTGTAATGAGGTCTGGTGGTGCCCTCTTCTGGCCTGCAGGCATACACACAGACAGAACATTGTATACATAATAATTTTTTTTTTTTGGCGTTTTGAGCCTGTCCTGGAACTAGCTCTTGTAAACCAGCTGGTCTCGAACTCACAGAGATTCGCCTGCCTCTGCCTCCCGAGTGCTGGGATTAAAGGCGTGCGCCACCACCGCCCGGCCATAATAAATATTTTTAAAAAAATCTTTCTCAGAAGCCCCCAGTAGATTTACCCTCAGCTCCAGCTACCTAGATCTGTTACATGGCCACACCCCAGATCCATCCCTGACCAGGTGAGGGTTCTCATATTCAACTTGTTCATAGTTCATTTTTAATGCCTGAGGAATAGGGTTCTCTCCCCTCCCTCCACCTCTCCTCGTCCCTCTCCTTCCTTTCCCTTCTTTTTTTCCTTCCTCTTCTCTCCCCTTGTCTGGCAGGGTTTTGCTATGTTTCATAGGCTGATGTTGAACTCTTGATCCTCCTAAATGCTAGGATCACAGGTGTGCACCTACATGCCCAGTTTGTTTGTTTGTTTGTTTCTTTCTTCCTTCCTTCCTTCCTTTCTTTTCTTTTTTTTTTTTTGTAATCTAAAAACAAGTTTTAACTGGATATTCTGTAACCTTTCCCCCCTCTGTGCTGTACTGGGGATCAAACTCAAGGCCTTGTTCCCGCTAGGCAAACCCTCCACAACTGAACTATATCCCCACCCTGTATCCTATATTTTAATGGCTTACTCTGGCAACCCCACCAGGAGACATGTCCAGACTTTCTGAACCCGTTATCAGCCCACACTTGACAGTCAGAGCTGTGCTAGCAAGAAGATTGTAGCCCCAGATAGCAATCAATACGGTCTGTCTCATTGCTTCACAAGACTTTCTAAACCATCAGTGAAGGACGCTCTGGGGTTGGCCAGATAGTGTGGTGGGTAAAAGCACTGTCCACCAAAACTGACCATCTGAGTTCAATCCCCAGGAATCACAGGTGGAAGTAGAGAACTGGTTCCTGGGAGCTGACCTCTGACTGCCACACATGTGTCATGGCAAGAGCATGCGTGCCTGCATGCATGCGTGCGCACACACACACGGACACGAGTGAATAAAGAAATGTAATTTTAAGAAGGAGAAACTCTGGCCTACAGAGCCCAGCATTTTCATGAACATAGAGGTGAGCAGAAGAGAGACAGAGAGAGTTAGAGAGAGCAAGGCGCTGAGAAGAGATCCTAAATCACATTTAAAAAAAAAGGGGGGGGGGGTCTCATTCTGGAGCCCAGGCTAGCCTGGGACTTTCCATGTAGACTAGGTTAACTTCAAACCCTCAGCAGTCTCCTCCTAACTCAGTCTCCCGAGTGCTGGGATCCCACGCGTGCACTGTGACATTTAGCTAAGATCACAGTTTTATATCACAGGATAAAACCCGAGTTCTCAGGGCCAGCTGGCAAGGATGCAGAGCGACAACGTTTTAAAAACAAACCGCGTGCGGTCACGGTGCATCGCAGCTCTCGCTGTGGGATCTGAAGCTTTGGAGACGGTCACTCGAGGTCCTTCAGCCTTGCCCCAGCCGCGGGAGTGAGGTACACAACCACTTCTCAAGACACTGCGAACCCCTCTCCTCTCCCAAACCTGCTCACTAGAAGATCAAGGTACCCAAGAAATGATGAAGGGGGCAGGGGATGTTTTCTGTGGGAGCTGGTGCCGTTTCAACACTATTTTTATGCTTTTCTTTCCTTTTCATAAGGAGATAATTAGCATGCGGGCTCTGATTACAGACCGTGAATCCTCAGTACTCGGGTGCCACTCACGGACAGATGCAAACCGAGCTCCTTCGTCAAGCTGCCATCTTTCCACTGTCAGTGAGCAGCCCTGGGAGGGGCAGGGGAAAAACCATTCGTTTGTCAGACTCCGTGAACTCTGGCCCGCAGCCCACGCGGCACTGGGAATTCTGGTTGCCAGATGGGAAACCACGTGACAGTTCTCCTTGAAACGTGTCACCCTGGGGACAGAGGAAAATCTAATGGTAAACATCTTTATTTTCTGAGACAGGCCCAAGAACCTGGCTCCACAGGTAACCTTTGTTCTGTTTTCTGTGAGAAAATAGCGTCTGTTCCCTAAACCATGCTCATGACATAGACCAAAGAAGAGCTTGCGTGAAGTAAAGTGGTGTACGGCTGCTGACCCAGTGTCTGGAGGACAGAGGCAGGAAAATCAGAAGCTCAAGGTCAGCCAGGGCTAAAACAAAACAAAACAAAAATTCGGGCAGCACAATTCGGACTCAATGGATTAGTTTAAAAAAAAAAAAAAGACATGAAGTTGAGAGGGGGTGAGGAGGTGAGGGATGGACCTAGGAGGAGTGGGGGGGGGATATGGTCAAATACACTGTATATATGAAATTATGAAAGAATAATATTATGTTTGTTAAAATCAGAAATGACGTGTTCTGGTAGTATAACACACATGCGGGGGGATATAGTCAAATACACTGTATATATGAAATTATGAAAGAATAATATTATGTTTGTTAAAATCAGAAATGACGTGTTCTGGTAGTATAACACACATGCGGGGGGATATAGTCAAATACACTGTATATATGAAATTATGAAAGAATAATATTATGTTTGTTAAAATCAGAAATGACGTGTTCTGGTAGTATAACACACATGCGTTGTGTGGTATTCGTTAGAGAAGACTAGGAGAGTGTGGATCTAAGTCTTTATTAACCTGCTAACGACTACTCTGGGTGGTCAGGATCCCAGTGTAGCTCAAGCCTTCTCAGCGTGAGTTTGTAAACACAAAAATCACCTTCTGAGTTGACACACTTCGGTTAACAAGAACAGCTAGCCAGAATTGGAACTACAGAAGCCAAAAGGCAAGGTTAGTACATTTAGAGACTTTCCAAGAACCATGGACTCTGACAGAATTAAGTCTTTGTTTTCATTTTGGCTGATGGTATGGGCTACCTGCTGAATCAGGTTTTGCTGTTATTGTTGTTTTGTTTGCTTGGTTTTGTTCTTTGCTTTCGTTTTGTGTTTTTGGGACAAGGTTTCTTTGTGTAGCCCTGGCTGCTCTGGAACTTACTCTATAGACTGAATTAAACTTGAACTCACAGAGATCCTCCTGCCTCTGCCTCCTGAATGCTGGAATTAAAGATGTGCACCACCAGGGCTATGTGCTGAATTTTGGTACTCCCATTGTGAAGTCTGTTGTGCTAAGGTCTGGAGGCCTACAAGGTTCTGGACCCCTGTTCTACACACTATTTTGTACTTTTTATTAATCAAAAATATCTTAGACATGTTTTTATATTGGTCTCACAGTAATATCTAATACCTGTTTTCCCATAGGGCATGTTGTCAAGCTTTCAGGTTTTTTTGTTTGTTTGTTTGTTTTTGTTTTTCGAGACAGGGTTTCTCTGTAGCTTTGGAGCCTGTCCTGGGAACTAGTTCTTGTAGACCAGGCTGGCCTTGAACTCACAGTGATCCACCTGCCTCTGCCTCCCAAGTGCTGGGATTAAAGGCATGTGCCACCACCGCCCATCAAGCTTTCAGGATTTTTTTAAAAAAAGATTTTAAAAAAATTACGTGTATGCATATACCACACATAAACAGCTGCCTTCAGAGGCCAGAAGAGAGTGGTGGATCCCAGGACCTTGAGTTACAGTTGTGAGTGGCGTGGTGTGGGTGCTGGGAACCAAACTTGGGCCTCTGCAAGTCCAGTAACCACTGAACCATCTCACCACCCCCAAACTTTCAGATTTTTTTTAAAGATTTATTTATTATGTATACAGTATTCTCGGTATTCTTTCTGCATGTATGGCTGTGTGCCTACAGGCCAGAAAAGGGCACCAAACCTCATTACTACAGATGGTTGTGAGCCACCATGTGGTTGCTGGGAACTAAACTCAGGACCTTTGGAAGGGCAGGCAGTGCTCTTAACCACTGAGCCATCTCTCCAGCCCACATTTTTATCCATATGATAGTTCAAGTATTTCACGTATAGGTTGATAGTACTTCGGTGAGGATTTCATAAACATGTCCTGTTGTTATGAATAAGCTGGCCCCTCTCTCTTAGTATTTGGAGGCAGAGGCAGAAGGCCAACCTGGTCTACGTATTGAGCTCCAGCACAGCCCTGCCTACATGAGAGCCTGTCTCAAATAGACAAAGGGGAGAAGAGTGGAGCAAACGGTCAGGAGCCATTGTGCCTGGTTCACTTTTCTCCCCTCAACATAATCTTTTTATCAGTTATTTAGAATTTCATACAGTGCACCCCGATGACCCTTGTGTCACGTTCCTCCCAGGTCCACCCTCCCACCCTTGCTCCACCCCCTCCAAAAAAAAAGTACATCAAGTCTAATTGTGTTGCCCATATACTCACCGGAGCATGGTCGAACTCCTGGTGGCCAGTCCCTTAAAGAAGACGGAGTGGTCAAGCTGTCGTCACCACCCCGACCTCCCTTCCACCAGAGGCTATCAACTGTAAAGAGCCATCTTGAGCATGCTCTATCACGGTTTTAAAGGACTCTCCTCGGTAGCATCCTGTCTGGACTGTTTCTCTATGGGGTTAGGGGGAGGTTGTCACAGATGCTCTCGGTGTCTCTCATTCTCAGTTACGAGTCTGTCGCCATCCATATCGCTCTTCAAGAAGCTTCCTTGCCAACCCCAAGGTCCAAATCAGGAGCAGATGGAGAGAGAGCACGAGCAAGGAACTCAGGACCGCGAGGGGTGCACCCACACACTGAGACAATGGGGATGTTCTTTAGGGAACTCACCAAGGCCAGCTGGACTAGGTCTGAAAAAGCCTGGGATAAAACCGGACTCCCTGAACATAGCGGACAATGAGGACTGCTGAGAAGTCAAGAACAATGGCAATGGGTTTTGATCCTGCTGCACATACTGGCTTTGTGGGAGCCTAGGCTGTTTGGATGTTCACCTTACTAGACCTGGAAGGAGGTGGGAGGTCCTTGGACTTCCCACAGGGCAGGGAACCCGGTCTGCTCTTCAGGCTGATGAGAGAGGAGGAGTTGACTGGGGGAGGGGGAGGGATATGGGAGGCGGTGGCGGGGAAGAGACAGGAATCTCTAATAAATAAATTAATTAATTAATTAATTAATTAAAAAAAAAGAAGCTTCCTTGCCCATGGCCGCCAGCAGCAGCAGGCATCATGGACTTCCGCACAGTTCCTGACTGCAGCACAGAACATGACCTCAACATGGCTTCTGTGGCAGCGTGAACCACAGACGTCTTTTAAGGAGGGATCTGAATTTCATCCAGAAGATGGACCATTCTCCATCCTGGGAATCTCATTATTGGTCAGAGTCAGGGTGAGCCTGTGGCTGGGCAGTGCATTGTGGACAGGACCTGTGGGAGCTCCAGGCTGCTGTACTCTCGGCATGGTACCAGCCAGGACCCAAGGCAGTGGGCAGTGCGGTGGCCCCGTGCTCTCCTCCCCCCAGCAGGACAACAGTGACGGCTTCATTGTTGGTTTATTTTTATTATTTTTATACTTATTGGATTTTTTTTTCTTAGACAAGACCTCACTATGTAACCCTGGATAGTCAGGAACTCAGGAATGTTAGACCAGACTGGCCTTGAACTCAGAGAGATTTGGCTGTTTCTGCCTCCTGAGTCCTGGGAATAAAGGCATGTACCATTATACATAGCTTTATTGACTTTTTTGAGACAGGGTCTCATGTCAAGTTTGGCCTTAGACTCACTATATAGTTGAGCTTGGCTTTGAACTCTTGGTCTTCTTGTTTCTACTCCCATGCTAAGACTAGAGGCATGTGCCCCATACCCTGGACATCCTCTGTTGGATAAGTGTGTGGTTTTCATATTTCTTTTTGTGGATATGCACACATGTATTGGGAGTGGAGCATCATACCCTGGCCATGTTCTCATGTGTGTGTGGTATATGTCTGTGTTTGTATGGGTTTGTGAATACATGTACAGGCAGGTTTTTGTGTGTATATATATATACATATACATGTGCAAGTGGAGGCCAGACATCAATTCTGGGTGTTTTCCTCCAGCTCGCTCCACCTTATATGTTTGAATGTAGGGAGGAAAAAAAATCAAATGATTGCCCAAAGGTGGTAAGCCTTACTTGAGATTTTTAGATTGAGAATATCAAGGGAGCCAAATGAACATAGTTTAGTATTCAGGTAAGGTGTGGAGAGAATGGAGCCATGGGGAAGAGACATAGGGATAAAGGTATTTTCTTTTTCTTTTTTCTTTTCCTCTTCCTCCTCCTCTTCCTCTTCCTCTTCCTCTTCCTCTTCTTCTTCTTCTTCTTCTTCTTCTTTTTCAGGACAGGGTTTCCCTGCGTAATCAGGACAAAGGTATTTTCAAAGGAACAACCCCAACTGAACATGGGCTCTGAGATGGGGTCACTGCAGGAAATCCTGAACAGCAGTGCTGGCCTAAGTGAGATGGGAGGCTGAGGGTTAGCGATCAACATGACAGGTCACAACGCTTGAAACAGACATTTTGAAAATGGTGTGGCCATTGGCCATTATGAAGTAAAGGATGCCACCAGGAGAAAGAGGGGGATTGGAAGCTTCATTTCAGGGGTCAGAAGCTGAGAATTATGGTGTTGTAGAAATCAACACTTAGGTGTTGAGACTAACCCAATGGTGACAAAAATAAGGAGAGAAGGGGCAGGGGAAAGGGCTCAGTGGAGAAAGGTGATTGCTGCCAAGCCTGACAATCTGAGTTCAATCCCTGGGTCCCGTATGGTGGAAGAGGAGAACAGACTCTTGCAGGTTATCCTCTGACTGCCACATGTTTACTGTGGTATACATGTGGTGATGGAGGAAGGTCATTGGTTAATTAATAAAGAAACTGCTTGGCCCTGATAGGTTAGAATATAGGTGGGTGGAGTAAACAGAACAGAATGCTGGGAGAAAGAGGAAGTGAGCTCAGATGCCAGGCCGCTGCTCTCTGAGGCAGACACAATGAAGCTCCCACCCAGGATGGACGTAGGCTAGAATCGTCCTGGTAAGCGCACCTTGGGGTGCTACACACATTATTAGAAATGGGCTAGTCCAGGTGCAAGAGTTAGCTGAGAAGAGGCTAGATATAATGGGCCAGGCAGTGTTTAAAAGAATACAATTTGTGTGTTGTTATTTCGAGGCATAAGCTAGCCAGGTGGCTGGGAGCAGGGCGGCAGGAATGCAACCCGCAGCTCCTTCAACAATGTGGTTATACACATGTGCACACACATAGACACACCAAATAAAGTGTATATGTAACAAAAGAATATGGGGTGGGAACAGCTGGAAGTCTTCAGTTAGAGACATGGACGGCTGCTGGACGCCCACATCGTGGATCTCAGACACTCCCAGGCAAGCCAGCACTGCTCTGTTGCTGTCATCGCCTTCCCACCTGGCTGAGAAAGCCAACCCCTCCTGAACAATTGTGACCCCAAGGGACTCATAGGCGCAGCACAAATCCGTTTTGTGACTGGTAATAAAATCCAAAGGTCTTGCCCCGGAACTCCCTGAGGATTGGTACCATTTATAGAAGAAAGCAGTCATTGTCCACAAGCGTCTTGAGAGGAACAGAACGGAGAACGCTAAATTCCATCCGATTCTGAGCCGACTTCACCCATTGGCTTGTCACTGTGACACTCGTCATGTTGGGTCCTCCCACCCAGATGGGAATCCAAGTCATCCCCAGCCTCTGCTCCAGCGGCATTTGTCTTGTGTACAGAAGCAATACATCACTTTAATTAAAAGAGAAGGGGTTGATCCATGGACTAGACTAATATAAACCTCTAACAAGAGAGATTGCTGGAGGACAAATCACACAGCACAGACTTTAAAATACCCGAGAAAAAAGGAAAGTAGAGTCATGAGGCACAGGGCATCTGCTCACACCACACCCATCGGAGCTCAGGCTAGCCCCTTTGAAAGCACAGAGACTCGGGGCCAGAGGACGGTGATGAGGAAAGTCTTTCCAATGTGCTAATTATCTGCACCAGCTTAGTGTGCTGTGCTGTGTTGTGCTGTGCTGTGTTGTGTTGTGTTGTGCTGTGTTGTGTTGTGTTGTGTTGTGTTGTGCTGTGCTGTGCTGTGTTGTGCTGTGTTGTGCTGTGTTGTGTTGTGTTGTGCTGTGTTGTGTTGTGCTGTGCTGTGTTGTGTTGTGTTGTGCTATGCTGTATTGTGCTGTGTTGTGCTGTGTTGTGCTGTGCTGTGCTGTGTTGTGCTGTGATGTGTTGTGCTGTGCTGTGTTGTGTTGTGTTGTGCTGTGTTGTGTTGTGCTGTGCTGTGTTGTGCTGTGCTGTACTGTGCTGTGCTGTGCTGTGCTGTGTTGTGCTGTATTGTGCTGTGCTGTGCTGTACTGTGCTGTGGTGTGTTGTGCTGTGTTGTGCTGTATTGTGCTGTGCTGTGCTGTGTTGTGCTATGCTGTATTGTGCTGTGTTGTGTTGTGCTGTGCTGTGTTTTGCTGTGCTGTGTTGTGTTTTGCTATGCAGTGTTGTGTTGTATTGTTCTGTGCTGTGCTGTGTTTTGTTGTGCTGTATTGTGCTGTGCTGTGTTGTGTTTTGCTGTGCTGTGTTGTGTTGTGTTGTGTTGAGACAAAGTTGCTCAGTCCTTCTGCCTCCACCTCCCAAGTACGAGCACAGGCACACACCACCATGCCTACAGGGAATTTTTAATTATTGTAGACATTTATTCTTCACTCCCTTTGGCTCATCTCTTTAGAAACGACTTGCATGAATCATTCAATTTTGTCTTTCTGCTTCAGAGTTAGGTTTTGTTGTTTGTTTGTTTGTTTGTTTGTTTTATGAGAGAGGGTCTCTTTACTTAGTCCTGACTGTCCTGGAACTCACTCTGTAGAGCAGGTTGGTCTTGAACTCAGAGATCTGCCCGCCTCTGCCTCCCAAGTGCTGGGATTAAAGTTTGTGCCACCACACCTGGTCTTGAGTCATCAAAACAGGCTTCTGGGGTCTCTTAGAGGCCAAGATAACACACTAGAAAACAGAAGATGGGAGCTGGGTAGATGGGAGCTGGAAAGCTCCCCAGTTGTGAGCCCCGGCTGGTTGGGAAAGGGCAGGGAAGGAGGCTTCCCAGGGCTGGGCATGCAAGACTGAGAGCCCGCAAGGTGATTCCCTCCATGTTTTATGTTTTTGCTGTTGTTGTTTTGTTTTTGGTCTTTCGAGACAGGGTTTCTCTGTGTAACAGTCCTGCCTGTCCTGGAATTCTCTCTGTAAACCACACTGGCCTCGAACTCAGAGATGCGCTTGCCTCTGCCTCCCCATGTGCGGCAATTAAAGGCGTGTGCCACCACCGCCAGACTGGTTATTACTTTTTAATCAATGTACATATTTATTACTTACAGTTTATTGTGTGTGTGGGTGCGTGATACGTGCATGACAGCCGTGTACTCAAGCCATGGCACACATGTGGAGGTCAGGGTAGCTTTGTGAGGCCGGTTCTCTCATTCCATCTTTATGTAAGAGGAGGGGCTCCAGGCTTTCTCTACAAGTGGCTCTATCTGCTGAACCATCTCATTGGCCCTCTTTATTTATTTATTTTTGAAGCAAGGTTTCATGTAGCTGACATGGCATTGAGCTCACTGTATAGTCAAAGAGGACTTTCTGATCCTCCTGCCTCTACCTCCTGGGTGCTTATATTATATTATAGGTGTGCACTGCTATGCCTGGTGCATGTGGTACTGAGGAATTGAACCCAGGGCTTTACAGTTTACAGGGCAAGCAGTTTACCACCTGAGCTCCAACTCAAACCCTGT